GAGGCACCGTTAACGAGTTATCAACGAAAAACAGTGACCAATAAGAATCGAGTACGGCTGACGCGAGGCGGCCCAGCCAACCAGCGCGCGAAGCCCAGTTCCGCTCATTGGCTCGATCGCCTCGCGCCAGCCGAGCTCGCCTCTCATTGGTCGCTGTTTTTCGTTGATAACTCGTTAACGGTGCCTCGGAGAACATTTTTGTAAAGGAAAAAGTTGCTTCGAATGGCCTGTGGAACCCGCCACTTTCGGATTGCGAGACATTTTTGGGACACCCTGTATATACAGTATCAGACTCTATCGTCCAGAGAAATAGCCTCGCGCAGAATTCAGCCGTACCTAAAAGGTTATTAATCCTTAAGTCGACGAAACGCGGTGGCGTATACAGGTTGTGCCGGAACTGAGTCCGAGTTTCTGTTCGCAGCCGGAAACGTGCATCGCGACGTACGAGCCGCACGCGTACTGCGTCGTCTACTCGACGACGGACCGGGCCTCGGTGCGAGTCGCCGAAGCGGTTCTACAAACTCTCTGGCGCAGCGACCACGTCTCCGCAAGGGCGGTGATCCTCGTCGGCAACAAAGTCGATCTCGAGCGCAGCCGGTTGGTCTCGACCGCGGGTGAGTCGTCTCTTTTCGCCGATAAATTTCGCCTTCCGATAAATTCCGCGACGTTCTCGCGTTAACCGTTCGAAGCCAACGATCATCCGTGTTCGCTCATCGTTGTCCCCGTTGCAGAAGGAAAGTCGATGGCCACGTCCTACGACTGCAAGTTCATCGAGACGTCCGTCATGATCAACCACAACGTCGACGAGCTGTTGGTCGGCCTGCTGACGCAGATCCGGCTGAAGCTCGAGAATCCCGAGAGGGCGAGGGACCTGTTCCGGAAGAGGTCCAGGAAGAACCGCAGCAAATCGCCGCTGGGCTCCTGCTCCGAGAACAACTCGCCGAAAAAGTATCGCGGCAGTCGCACCAGCACGAGTCTGAAGGTGCGGAACTTGCTCGGCAAAGTATGGGCGAGGGACAGCAAGTCGAAGAGCTGCGAGAACCTGCACGTACTCTAACTTCTCCGCGGAATCCTGCGGACAAGGTCCGCGACCTTGAGGACTTTGTTCTCATCGCCGATCCAATTCGCCGACGACGACGATTCTTCCCGGTTTCGACGCGATCAACGAAGAGAAGAATGCGAGCGGCGACGACGACGAGCTCGTTGGCGAAATAATCGCGATGCTCGAACGCCGGAAAATCGAAGCGACGCATAGGCGTCGCGATCGGCTAAACGAGTCCGCTGTTGTACACAGATGCAAACGTGTTTTTCACGACCACTACTTTATACGACTCGAACGCGTCCGGTCGTCGTCGACGGACGGCCGTTTTGCCGTCGACGGGATACTCGGATCGATGCGATCGATCGAGATTTTACACTTGTATATTCGACGCCCGTGTGTACAAACGCGACGCGCGTACTCGCGAGTACTCGCCGTGGACGCACGGGAATTTGTACGCGAGCAAAGCACGCCCGCCCGCACGCACGCACGCACGCATTCGCGCGCTCCTTCTGCACGCGAGCAAAAACGCAAGAAAAAGAGAACACCGGCGCACGCGCGCGACCGTGTTTTTTCATTGGGACCCTTTGCAAACCGAGACTCGTCTCGATTCGGAACGAGAGAAACGCGTGCTTCGCGCGAGGCCGACCGCCGCCGCGTCCGACGCGGTCGGATCCCTCGCCGCGCGTTCGTGCCGCGAGACGAATACATACTTTTCGACCGCGTTGTTTCGCTCGAAGCGAGAGCAACGTTGACGATAGGAAACGCGGTCTTGTTAGCGCTTTCCATCGCTGTTTCACTTTCCCCGATCGTGCTCTTCCTCCTTTCTCGATTGTTCGATGTCGTTTACTGTGTCCGATCGTGCCGATGCAAACGCGAGTAAACCGAACCGAACGATTCGCGCTTCTCGGGAGCCGTGTAGGACTGTTTTCCGTAGGTAAAACGTAAACCGTTTCGATTACCGCTACTACGTCCATCGTTGCACGTTTTCAAACAAAATATAGCGAGTATATTCGGTAGTTTGGGAACAGTTCTAGTTCGCGAATTAGAACGCTCGTGCTTGGAAGTATACGCATCTCGGTTTACCGTTTCCTATTTCTGCCTGTACAGAAGTTTCGAGCCGAGCGGCGCTCCGGCGCGCACGAAAATTATTTCACCGTCGCGTAGAACGCGCCGCCGCGCCTTGCTCGGAACTGTTCGGCCGTTACCGTTCCACGCGCGACGCGCGCCGCGCCCGTAGTCTCCGCGCTTCTACGACACTTACCGACGGCGGTCGAGCGGCGTAGCCCTCGACGCCGCCGTAGCCTGCGCGTGCACTCGCGTTTGATAGGAAGGGATCGTTTCTATCGGCGAGGGAAACGCGTTTACTCCGCTGTCGCGGCAGGCGTTGGAAACGGATGGGTCGACCGAGACATCGATCCTACGCTTTTTTCGAGCAAGGCACGGTGCGAAGGTATGTAGCTTCCGTTCAAATTTGTCTCGCAAACTTGTCGCGATTCTATCGCGAGTGTTCGACGACATTCCTGCGCGAGATTTTTTAGCGCGCACAACGTACGCATGTAATTTCTGCACTGAACAGCGCATCCCAGGAGACTGGTCCGAATTGTACAACGGTCGTCGACGATTTCAGCTACTCGATCTTTCAAGCACTTTGATCTATCTGTCTCTCGTTCGTTCTCTCTCTCTCTCTCTCTCTATCTTTCTCTCTCTTTTCCACCTTCTCTCTTTGTCTCTCGCTTTTTCTACAACTTGCTCCGTCTTCCTCTTTCTTTAAACACGTAGCAAAGAACTCTCCGCGTCACGGGCGGCACGGCTGCGAGTCGTTTCTCTGGCGGGAGCAACGAGACCACGCCCACTCGCGCGTGGAAACCACGCCCGCTCGGGGCAATACGCGGTTCGATCGAGCAGAATTTCGGCCCGAGATCATTTCCACGTTGCTCCCGAGCCAAAGAACGATCGCGTCGCCCCACGAAATAGAGGAATCTCCCGTAGTACGCAGAGACATAACGAGACTCTCGCTTAACGAACTCGAGTCGACTAGACTTACTCGACTAGGCTCGACTAGCCCGATAAGGTTGTTACAACCGTCTAGGATGAGAATCACGATCGCTTTCGGGAATTTGTCGGTGAATAGTTTTCACGAATATTCACGCTTGGCATGACTCGTCGTAGCGCGTTCGATTCTATACTTACGCTTATGGTATAACCGATAACCGCGGTACGATGATCGGGACGAACTTGCAGAGAAGCGTTTTGCATTTGGTATAAATACGTTCGAATGCGTGCAATCCGAAACGTGTGTGTCCCGGAGAACTAAAAAACAGCGCGACACTGCGCGCGCAGCTCTCTCTCTCTCCCCCACTCTGTTCGTTTCTTCCGTTTTTTGGATATGCGAATGCGTATATTGTACGGCTGTGTACAAACGTACGGCGAATCGATTCGTCTGTTTTTGTCCCTCGGACCTCTCCTACTCCCTCCCCCCCTTCGCCCGCCCCACCACTCGGAACGTGTTTCGAGCGGGAAAACTTGTTGTCCTCTGCTACTCCCTCGGCCGTTACCGCGAGCGAGAGCAGCGACGTTAAACGCGCCGCGCGCCCAGAGGTACACAATATGCTCGCGTTTTTCTTTTTGAAAGAAAATCGAAAACGAGAGAGCCATCTAATTAGAAAAGGACCAAACCGATAACGAATAAGAATACGAATAGGCGAGATACGATGAAATGTGCGAGGAAATCGAACGAAGAAGGTTAGAAGAAAGCGACGAGGTAGAGAAAATAAAATGTAATTTGTGCCGTTCGACGGGGTTACGGGCAAGATGTTCGGTGACGATTATCCGTCCACCTACTCTTAAACTCTCGAGAAAAATCCTTCGTGAACGTTTTTTCAGGCGGCTGTGAATCGAATCGAGAATCGAATTGAATTGATGTTGCGCGCGCGTCTGTGCCGAATCAGTTTTTCGCGAAGGGGCCGAACATTCTTGTCCGAACGGAGAGAGCGGGGTCCGCGTTGCACTCTGGAGAAACACGATACGAGTTTCGAGGACAATGCGGCCTGAACGCGAGCTATGATAAATTCTTACACCAAGGTGCACGAGTGCACCGAGTGCGCATGCAGTAGCGTACAAGATCCGACGGACGATGTCCCCGTAGCTCTTAGGTTCCAGTACCGTTGTTCTAACGCCAGATGTCGCTGCCAGCGCCGCTACTGGCGCTGGAACGAACACACAGGTACGACGTACAACTCGCGCGGCCAGATAAGCTGACGGATGCCCACAATGCGGACCACAGCCTATCGATTAGGCGATTTCTTCGATCGATGTTATTACGTACATATTATTATCCCCTGTACCTGCGCGCCCGTCATGTATTATATCCTTGTAATACCGCGCCAATTTTATTGTCTGTTCTTGTTAGCGCGTCGTACATCGTTGTCTGCATATTGATCGTTACCATCTAGAACAAAAAACAAACAAAAAAACAAAAAATCGAGAGTTCCGTTTCTCAACGCCGAATCGAGAGACCGGCGAAGAGGATGCGACCGCGATCGCGGGCTCGTTTTTGCGGCTCGATCTGGTCTCGGTCTATACGCCGCAAAAGGACATCGATAGAACGATGACAAAATGACCAGGACACCGACCAACACACCGTTACGATAACTACATATTACGGACACTTCATTCGTTTCTATTTGTATTTCTATATCTGTACGTATGTCCAATATATCTGGAGGAAAATCTGACATTTGCGATTCTACCATGGTCACGCGTCCTTTCGTTCGTTCGAACGCTGCTTTTTTCACGATTCTTTTCTATACGGATACACAGGTCGTCGCGCGACACCGTTATCATTTCAGAATCGTTTATTCTGATTTAGTCTAATAAATCATTTTGAAAAGTTCGGCGCGCAACGATTGAAAATAAATTGGTAGATCGATGGTCGATAATGGGAAATATTGAAATAACATTTTCTATTCAGCCCGCCGAATCTAGTGAAAAGTCTAGAAAAGTGTACTCTACACATTGTAATAACAAAATATAAAAAGTTTAAATTGAAATAATTAGAGAATAAAGTAGGTAATGGCGCTCCTTGCGGCGAAATCCCGAAGCTCCGTTTAACGTTAAAATGATGAAACTGCTCGCCAAAATTATCGACAGACGAAATCGCTGATTCTCCGCCAGATGGCGCCACCGCATAAAATCTGTAAAATATAAATTTGGAGCCACTACGCGCAGTGGCAAAACTCTGAAGCTGGTTGACCCGTTGTCAACGATCGATTTTGGCTAACAGTTTCAGCGTATCGCCACCGTGTATAACGGCGCTATTTTTAGCAAAATAAAATAAACATATGTATATAATTAAATATATTTGTATTCACGTTACACCTTACCGAGGAAATAGCACGAAATATCCGCGCTAATGCTGGTATTGCGGAAATAAGTCGCTGAAAAATGAAATCTCTTCCACTTTGTACTTGGTACGCCTATGTATATTTTCCAAATTTCAATGGACACGGATAACGTAGCTTACCTAAGCAATTCGGTCACAAGCATACATAGGATATCAAATCTATTCTTATAACACACCTGCGTAGTAATCTCTACGCATATATAGTCGATACACGTGCGTCTTCTAGTTCGACAAAAATATCAAGTACAAAAGAATATCTGTAACATTTACATTTGTACAAAATAATTTCAATGCTTATAGTCTATTATGTGTTCGTGGAGGCGTCACGCAAATGGCTCGAACGATCGGTCTGAAAGAACGACGACGATTTTCGTTCAGCTTTCGTGTGAACAATTTCTGGAACACTGCGTACACGTTCCCTCCGGCAGTTTTTCGTTTCGTCGGTTTGAATTTCGACGTGTCCGGTATCCTTGGGTTTGTCCGCATGGATCGAACGTATTTTCGATACCAATTTACCGTCTCCGCAAGAATCGATGATATCCTGGCGATTCGAAGACCTTAAAAAGATGAAATGAATTCTTATCACGGCATAAAAGGTGGAAAGCCGGCGATAGATTTACTGAGACGGCGGCCATTTTGCTGTCTCCTTGCCACATTTCGCTGAATTTCGATTGGCCAATTTGGCAATAATTTTAGCATCGACGTTAATTAATTTAGGCTTCTGCATGCCACTCTTCAGTTCCTCTATGTTCGTCGTGAGATGCTCTATCTGCATCCTTAGCGTTGCGTTTTCATGAACCAATCGGGCGTTTCTTTGCACCACCTGACACACGTATCAGAAAATTAATCAGAAAATTAAAATAGAACAAAAAATTACGCAGAGACAACACAAAATTGTTCGAAGCGATTCACCTGCAGAAATTTTGCTTTGCTCAAAGGCAAAGCCTCTTGGAACTTGTCCGACACGATAATGTTCAGCTCTCCCCGCCCTTCGTCCAACTTCTCCATCATATCCGACATCACCTGCAGATGCTCTTTCAACAATTGATCCAATTTCTGCCTCAACGAGTCTTTCGCGTATTTCATTCGCAGGAACTTTATGCACAAATTGTACGTCGTTCTCGTTTTCTCGCACAGCTCCTCCCTAAGGGACTCGTTCTCCTTCTCCAAGGATCTCCGTGCATCCTCGAAATCTGTTCTCTGTTTGCACAGCCTCGTCGCCCCGCCGGCAGACCTAATTTTCTGCCGCTGCAGCTCGTCGTTGAAATGATCCTTCTCCCTTTGGTAGAACAGCCTTTCGTCGGCCAACTGCTCTAAAATTAATTCGGTAGATTCAAGGGTTACAATAAGCTTGTCGAAGTCCGCTGTGCAAGCCTTGTTACGTTTGATGTTCCTGACGCATCTCTGTTGCTTCTTCAACTCGGCCGACAATCGTTCGTTGTCGCGTCGCAAATTCTGCAGCTGTACATCCTTCAGTTGTATGGTATTCTCTAGAGACGAGACTGTTTCTTGCAGATTCGACACCTTGGAGAAACGTACAAACTCTGCTTAAAACGCTCGATCGAAAATACAATAGGACAATTCACTTATGTACCTGCTGACGTAGATCCGATGCTTCTTCGTTGTTAATTCGGCATTGAGAGTTTACGCAAGTGGCAATCGTTTCCTCTGTACGGTTACACAAACTATCTTTCGAACCGATATTCTGCATATCATATTAGCGAATATTACATGTTAACTGCGACGTGTCTGAGAATCAACATTATACGAATGTTTCCAAGACGCACCAAGTAATAAGGTGCCACGCGCGCGCTTGTAATTCCGCCTAACGGGGTTTTAACAGCTTAACCTTAATTTATAAAGAAGATTTATGTACCAAAATTACAAATTTGTTAGGTTGTGTTTATTCGCAGACAGATTCAGGATCCTTAATACAAAGTATAGGACATGTACTTTTTACAATCTGAAAAATCATCGCCATGTTTTTTTAAATCGTTATTACGAGAACCGTGCGAACCAGCGATTTCTTCGGATCGCTTCCGAATTAATTATACCACCCCCTACAGAAAATATTCGATTGGTAATCGTAAGCGAAATTTTTCGAACGATAGGTTTGGACCATGTCGTGAAAAAATGAGAGACGTAAGAATGAACGATACTTGAGAAAGAAATCATCGATAAAACTACGAATGCTCTTGTTAAAAAATATTTAAGTAACTCGATAAAACATGGGATCGATGAAGATGACAAAGAAAAAATTTTTCGATGATACGAAGAGTATTATCGTTGCAAATACTTTTTGCCAAGGGTGGTGTTTTACCAGTACCAAATTACGTTAACAAAAGACACGGACGTCTTAACGCTAGATTTAGTTTAACCTACGTGAACTATGTTAACATTAAGTCTCGAAGATCGGACTCGACGGTGAATTTTCTTCCGAGAAAGTCTGCTCTCCGCAATAGCATTCGTGCACCTCTCTGTTCGATGAAAGGAACGCCCGCGGAAGAATTACGTCGCAATACTGATTAAAAGTTGTGAAATTTTTTATTGTATCGTATATGTACAAAATAGGTGTACAGACTACTTATCAATCGTACGGGCGTGTGTGTGTTTTGCACACGCGTTACATATGCATTTATCGCATATAACACTGATGTAAAGAGCATCACATTGTGTAGTACACCTGTAACACCCCCTTCTTCTGTAATCTTTCATCGAAATGGAATGAATGTCGAGACATGACGCGTAAATATGTTTCGTTCTTTTCATTGAAATTCTGAAACCTTATTATCATTGTACCCCTCTCGTTCGCAATCATCAATAACACACTTGGTGCAAGGGCTTCCGTGACTATTTACCCTTCCCTCCCCACCCCCCATCTTGTACACACGAAAATAATAAATTACACTGGAACGTTATCTTCGCAACTTTGATATTACATTTTGTTCTGGTTTTCTCGAGGGCGTTAGTTATTAATTCCTTTTCTGAGTCGCGCGTTTACATGGCTACATTAGAAATAGGGTACCTCCGCGTTATCACTGGAAGTGCTTCGCTGTGTGAACACGGTATCGGACAAAAAAAAAGTCGAAAAAAGAAAACAGTATGATTACACCTCGCTGTACTTCCGGTTCATGCTTTCCACTGATTTGATTAACAACAACTGGGCCAAATGTTCCTCTTGTTTTTATCGTGTAAACTTAAATTCCGCGTTCTTCAGATCTCTTTTTCCCTCTTCCCTTGAAGTACAATAAGACCCTTTGAAACGTGATCGAACAATTGCTATTGCTTCCATGTAACGCGATTGAAAAATTACTTACAAGTACTGCTGTCTTCTCTACAGTCTTTCTAAGCAAAGTTTTACATCTGCGTTATTTGGTAATAGCAATAAATTTTTGATAGCGTCACCGCGAGGGTCTGTATCACACGAGGCTTTATATTTCTTTCTGATCGAATCTCGTTACGACAAGATGGACCAAGCTACTGTGTGCGATCAGCGCGCTCAGAGGAATGCCCTTTGAACTTCCAACTTCGTACAATTTAGTCAAGAAAATAATTTTTGATCGACATTCTTTTAATATCCCATAGAACTCGTCTAATGCGTTTTAAAGGTCATTCCTCTAAGGCGTTCAGAGAGCTATTCGACTGTACGATTCTTGCGGATAATTGTTAAGTGAATGGGCGACTAACGGTTTCTCGTCTTCATGTCCCTTGGTTAAAGGCTATGCTTTATTCAATAAAATGTACTGTCCGCGAACTATTAAAAACCTGATATTGTTCCGCTAAAGTTCTGACAAGCATCATACTAATTACGTCCGTTGGTCCAGTTGTGTCGCAGAAACGTGGAAGGCAATGTTTGTCGTCTGATAAATCTGATGAAACGATACTAGATTCGCATAAATGCGGATGATAATGATGGACTTACGCTTATTAGCCTAACTTAAAAGTTTGTTGTATTTCCATAATATTAAGGCTCGCGGCTTATTTTTTCTTGTTCTTATTAGCTTGGTTTTTGTATTTGGCTGCAGTTGTTAATTTGGCATTCTTCTTTTTAGGTTCATCTTCATCGTCTTCGTCGTCTTCGGGTTCCTAATGTATTAAAATCAGAAAGAGAATATAGCTTTGTATGAAACGGACTGTATGCGGAGCATAAAAATTGTTAGGCGGTAAAAATGCGGTTCGTAAAAGCTGTTAGATCTTTGAATTATTTAAAATAAAAGATTGTATCACTGACATCCTATAGTACTTTCGTTTTTCGTTCATGTCGAATTGTTTTAAACACAAGAATGGAAAGTATGAGGTACCAAGAGAGACGAATAAAGAATAAAAGCAAGTGTTTAAAAAATGGGATGTTTTATTATGCAAAAAGGAAATAAAACAGACACACATGGAATGAGAACACAAACGCAGAAAGTATATCATCCACGACTCTTTTTTATTCCTTAGACAATCTTCAGAGCCCTCCCGCCCACGAATCGTAATATTAAAGTAACGTCACTTTAAAAGATTCTTGATAAATTTCATATTTTTTTTTGGAGGATATTTGTATAGCAGCATTCTAATATTAGCATTCTATTTGTCTACAGCTTCATCCATCCTGGCACGCTTGGTGCCATTTTTTTTACCCTCTGCAGAATGCTTTCTTTTCTTTTGTTGTGCCTGAAATTCGTATTCCTAGTATGTAGAAAACGATTTACTATTGCTTCCAACAACATACACAATTAAAATATGGCAAACGCTATAAACTTCGATAGTTTATAGGTTCGATACAGATTCGGATAGAGTTCTCATTGAAAATATTCTGCATATATTTATCTCGGATATCTCACGACTTTTTTTCGGCTTGTTTAGAATGTCAGTTACGAATACAATCTTCTTAATGTTAGTTGACTTTTATCGAAAAATACTTTATCATATGTTATCATTCAGTTAATCTACGTTAAATAATTAGGATTTGCGTAATATACCTTATCATCATCGTCATCGTCTATGTTCTCCTCCTCCATCTCATCATCCATATCGTCAAACTCCTCCATATGTGTACCTAAAAAATTAAACAAACCATTATTTAACATTTAGTTCCATTATTAAACAGTGTTTCGAAACAAATATTAGGACAACCTCGACACATTATAAATTCTAACTTTTTAGATATAATTATCATTACGCTAAAAACTTGCTACTGCCCTTCCACATATATGCTTTATCATTTCTAGTTGAAAAAGCAGACATTACGAATTATAACAAAGGCGTCCAATTAGAACTATCGCCCTTCCAAAGGTCTGAGAACTACAATACGCTAAAGTATTTAATTTAAACAAACTATTTATTAAAACTAGATTCGAAGAACACCTACGATCGATTTGAAATAATGTTAACTATTTTATATAATTTTATTTATTATAGTTCGATATAATACTGGCACACGTTCTTACCAAGAAGATTATGGCCTACTATGTGAACAGGACCACTGCCATTAACCAAAGTGAACGTGACTGGTGGATCGGGAAAACTGAGATCCAAAATAATCTGTGCTGTTTTTCCCATTTCCAGCAAAGCAATTGGTGTTTTAATGGGTCCCTTCAGGCCCATTGCTTCCACCTGTAGCACATTGAGCTCTCCAGGTTTAGCCTCTGGTCCTAAAAGAGCCTACAAAAGAGAAAGAAATATTGAATTGTTTCAATTATTATAAAAATTGCTTAAAAAGATTAAATAAATTCTATTCGACGGTATTTCCATTCAAAAAAATAAACATTCGTATTTTTAAGTAGCCGAACGCGAGATGACTTGCTGACAATCTATCAAGACCTCCATACATCTATACGCGTCTACAAAAGCTTTTCATATTCAAACGAAACCGCGGATCGCTTCCCTACATAAATACAAATTAATCATCGCGTTTCCGACGCGTCGAACGTCTGAAACACAAACTCCGCGATTTTTCGCTTCTCGAAAATTCGCCCGTGCGAAAAGTGGGGTTAACCGAATTCGTGAAACCGAAGAAAGCGAGGTTATAGGCGAAGCGTAATTTGCGAGCAGGCTACGATCGTGGTTAAAAATTCGCGCGCAAACGTAACGAGAGTGGATGAAAACGTAGTAAAAAAATCCAGACCAGCCGTGACGCCGAATATCCGTGGTATAAATTTACACGGTTAAAAGGAACGGCGGAAAAAATGTACGCTATTCGATTCGGAAAAATCTGAAACAGATCGAAGGAACTAGACCGAACATTTACATCCGTGGATCGAGCCTAAGAAACCGTTGCCGACTGAATCGTGCGTTAACGAGTATCTGCCGCTCGTAACGGAAGAGAGTAAGTACGGGAAAGTACGCGAAACGATGCACACGCGGCTAACGCAAAAGCGTCCCAGTGAAAATTCGATTGTTCCGCGATGGCTATGATTCAACGATGCACGCGACTTACCATTTTGATAATAAGCTTTTGATCGGCTCCGAAATGTTGGTTCGTGCCGTCTGCGTCGTCGTTCTTGTGCTCTGGGTCCCATACCTCGCTGGAGTTGGCTCCTTCGAGGGTGATTCCTGAACACACAAATCACAAAAGTACGCACACGGAATACAGTGAATGCTTGCCGTCGCGGTCTAGCTAAAGAAAATATCGCTGGCTTGTTCCTCTCAACGGGGACAATGGGGACTGGTCACAATGGCCGAAAGGCAGCCGGCGTCTCGACGGCAGTTACCGCTCGCGTCGAACGGCTGAAAGCGTCGAAAGTATCCGCGAGCGACGTAAAATAATCCTGCCGCGTTGCTCACGATATCACCGCTGCTGATATTTACCGTAGAGATATTCCTCTGCCATGACGATCGGTCTGATATTAAAGGATTCCCGGTCAAGCGGACGTGTGAAGAGACCCCTTTGGAGTGTGCGTGCCGAACGAGAGTGGAGAAGCCAAAGACGCCGCGCGCACAACGGTCACTGCGCGAAGAACAGTGGTCGCACGTGTTAGACGAACGCGTAGCGAATGAGTTTCGTCGTTTCGCGTACGTCGGCCTTGCGCGCCCAGAATGCGTTCCACGTTCTGATTGGCCGGCCGGGCTTAAAATGGCGTCGATCCGGTGGCACGCAGAACGTCAGAGACGAAACTCCGCCGTTTTTCAAAAATCAACGCGCATGCGTCGGTAACTAGACTTATTCGGAAGAATGCAACTTTCGGAACTCGGCTAATGTCAAAATACGTACGAGGGTCATGTTTTAATCAAATCAACAAAGACAATGGAATATTCAGAAAAATTCTGCCGACTCTGAAAATGTTGTTTCACCTTCGAAGGGGTGTAGCGAATTTTAGTCGTATTTGAATTTCTAACATTTGGCAGTTTAGCTGTCAGAAATTGGCCGAGAAACCCTCAATTGACGATGGTTCATTTGTAGGAAACTGTACGTACAATAACACACACACAATATCGTTAGATACCATATATAAATATGACTATAAAACATTAGGTAACGTGTCTTTAAATATTTATTATTTTATAGATACGAATATATAAAAATTGTTGCTATTAAATGTTTAGATATTTATTAATGATTTAAACAAATGTTCGATGGAGGTGTACATTTGAACGACGCACTTGGCAACGTTGTGTTGAACGCTCATTGGTTTGCGTAAGCCCTAGTGGTAACATGATGAAACAAGCATTGATAAACCGACTGTATAAATATCGGGCGCAACACGTGAATAATACTTAAATTGAGCGAAAGCGCCATGAAAGAACATTGTAGAAAAATCGAGAATTCGTTGCGAAAAGACTGACGCAATTTCATAAAATATTTAAAGAATTTTAGGGAATACAATTCATCGGTGTGTCTCGGGATAGACTGTGGCTATCTCCGTTCACGACAGGAACTGGTCACAATGCGGCTCTTAATTATTCTGTCTTGTTTGTATTTACTGCCGGTTATCTACGGTGATAACGGAAAGAATGAAACGATATTTGTGCCTACCCGGGAATGGCAAGTCGTCAAAAAAGGTGAGTAAATATTGACATGTAAATAATTATGGGTTCGTACTTTTGGAACTACTTTTTTACGCAACCGATCATGCTTCTCTTAAGACCACGTCAGTCAAATTTGTATCGCGCTTTTTGTCAAGAAGATTCATTATTATTATGCTTTATTATGAAAATGCAAAACTATAGATCGATTAAAAAATTTATAAAAAGTTTTTTAGTCGAGCGTTGATCGAACTGCACGAAATAAATTAAAACATGATAAATCGTAAATTATAAAGAACAGTGACGTATATAGAACACGAACTAAAGGTATACATAAATTTTTTTACTAGGTACACCAATTCCTCAAGGATTACATATACGGCACAATTTACAAACTGGAATCACAGAGGCCAAATTGATGGATAGCGAAGAAACAGAAGAGAAGAATGAAAATTCTAATTCTAATTCTTTGACATTGCATCCTGAGAAAGCGATACCGGAAGAAGAAGAGCCTCCGGTATTTTCAGAAAAATCAAATTTGTTCCAGTATCCTTTAGAAGAACTAAAAGCTAGACTGAAGAAAATTAAGCAAGACGAAGCAGAAACTCCTTCAGAATTAAATGTAACTATTCTTCATTCTCATATATTCGGTTATATACAATATACGTACTTATTTGATGAACATTTTTAGAACGAGCATGCTAAGAAGGTGAAGCAAAAGTTTCGGGACTATGAAACCTTGAAGAAAGAACTAAAAGCTTTAGAGATCAATATTACGACTAACTCGGAATTACTAAACACATACTTCCAAAAGTTTCAACCGCATAAGAATGCGATCACTACAGGAACATTAATGCCTGCGGAGATAGAAGAAGTTTTGGATATTCTTTATAATTTAGAATATTTACTTCACCATATTGATAATGCTAAAGTTTTTGCAGATATGCAAGGGTGACTATCAAAATAATTTTCATGTCAACACGACAAATTTTGCATTTTGATACAGTTTAAATCTCTATAATGTATTAAAAAAAAATATGTATCAAAGTTTATAAGAATCGATTTAGGATTGGTAGGAATTGGTTATCGAAACGCAAAAAAAGAAAGATTCACGATGCGTTGAACAGTATTATCGTGAAATTAATGTCTCACTTTTTTAAATTTCAGCATGCCTAAAATTATATCCCCGTGTCTCAATGGAACAAATAATGAAATTAAAGCTGAAGCACTGCGGCTTTTGGGCGCTGCGGTGCAGTCTAATCCTACAGTCCAGTTGAATGCATTGGAAAACGGTGTTGTTCAAAAGCTTTTGCATCTATTGTCTACAAACACTCGAATGGAAGTGAAGAGCAGGTGCCTCTACGCACTGAGTGCCTTAATCAGACAATTTCCAGCAGCTCAGAAAGTTTGGATCAATTACGGTGGATTGGAAATATTTGGTAAAATTTTAATGAACGATCAGTTACAAATACAAATGAAAGTTATGAAACTCGTCAGTGATTTAATTATCGAAAGGCAAGATTTACAAGATGCTACCGACAGTGAACAGTCACATATGAAAACAAACGCATATGCCGTGGTAGAATTAGAACAAAAATTATTAACGTATGAATACTGTAAACACTTAAGCAACTTAATGGTAAAGAGTTTAAAAGATGAAATGAATAACCAATTTATAATGAACAACGAGGAATTTCTAGAGACAATAGCCGATAGTATGATCATCATTGCTCCCATTTGCAAACACCATTTCGAAAGCAATATGCAGTCGATGCTTCGGGCGGTACAAGATTTAATGAACTTTTATATGAAAATTGATCCTTCGTTGGAGGAAGATTGGAAGAACAAATTTATGCAAGGTTTTATCCAGATATTCGAAAGACTTCAAACTAAAATTCCTCGCGACGAATTATGAGGCATAATTCAACGGTGAGAAAGTAGCTCCAGTATTTTAATTTCTATCGTGAGATTGTAATTGTACAAAGAGTTTCGTGCATATGGAGAATCATGGATTCCTCGCGTGGATTCATCGAGATGGATCCATTGTTAATGGCCGACAGGAAAGTTGTTACCGACCTTGCATTTCTTCACGTTATCTTTTTGATAATTATAGAACTGTTATAGAGTCATTGTTTTGACGGAAACGGTGTATAGTCATTCGCAAATAGGTTGTCTGAAAAATGTGATTGTCGTTTGTAATGAATGCGTGTGAAATGTATTATAAAATGAATGTATGTACATGGCCGTAAGCGTAATTTCTGTACACAAGTAGCGTGCAAGGCGTGCATGTGTAACAGTCTGTAATAACACTGAACAATCGTTGCGTTGCTTGTGTTCTGAAACGTGATTCTTTAATAAATTATTTTGTACTGTTCATACCTTTGATTTCTCTATCCTTCAAAAATATTGAAAATCGATATCAGGACACCGTGAGCTATACATATATTACAGAATAACATACTTTATTCTCAAATTAGAATCGATTACATGTGAACAATCTGTTCGTTTAGACGTAATTCATAGAAAATATACTCGTCAAGTCGCTGACTGAATCAGCTTTGTAAGAATAGCACTTCTATATACAGGTGATTAAAAAAAGACCGCTCACGTACCAAGTGTGGCTTTTCTTTTTTTTTTTAATAGAGTAGGAATGCCTTTTTGTGTTTTAAGTACAAGGATATCGCGATTATTTTTGTGCAACGTTAGAAAATACGCACTTCCCGTGAGTAATAAATAAGATGAATCTTTCGTATTTCCATCAAAGTATAATCTCACGACGTCTCTCAAATGCATCACTTTTACAGAAACCTTCAATTTTTAATTAACGCAGCAACTGCGTAGGTAATCAATTTTCGCAGACTCTTTTACACAACCGTGTTTACACCAATTGTTACTTTTACGAGTTATATTCTTTGTTTCTCTTCACGTTCGCAATAGCAATCGTTCTCCCTATGGTAAAATCGACGAATCTAATAACTGGACTGCGAATCATCGTGCAAAATAAAAATTTTCGGTATCAATTGCATTCTTAATTTATTTTATCTAGGGTAACATAGTAGAAATTTCTTTTTGGAATTGTTTGAAAGAAAATGATAAAAGTTTCTTTTTACATATGGCACAGTTATTAGAAAATCTATTAACAGAGATAAAGTATAATGGTCTTGCGATGTTTATATCGTTTCATTGATGCATGAAACCCGCAGTCTACTAATAACGCTATTTACAATGACCTCTTCAGGAACTTAAACGTACGTCTTTCGGGGCACGTGCTGCATATAGAAATTCTTAGTACAAATTTTTATAACTTGTGTTTTCTTTGTCTTTATACAGTAAACAAGGAAGTATATAAACATTATGTACAGGTGATCGGTTTCACAAATCGAATGTTCGTTCCGCGGCGTGTAACTTCCCACACGTCACGAAAGTATTTAAGAACGTCGATACTTTCGGAGACGGAATGACTTTTTCTCACAGACAATTCTTTTTTTACTAATAGTTTACAGAGGAACATACGTACATATTCTCGCGTGTATAGACTATGTCAGGTTTCTAACAATCACTCTTAAAGTATTAATGTAAATCGATAACACCGCGAGCTTCCTGGTAAATACAACTTCCTGATAAACGATCGAAAAATATAAAAGGAATTCGTACTAATACTCCCGACACAATCTTTTCCTTCTTTCTTTTTTTCTGTTCTTTTCTCTCATTTTATTCTCAAAAGGAACGTAAACTGTGTTCGTTAGAATATACAGAACGCGTGTGCGAGAAACGCATCTGTGTCCGTTGTATCCGGAGTGTAATTGGAAGTAAACGTTCGTCACGTTTGCAGAGACAAAAGAAACATCGATAACGAATAATCTCGAAGTAGAAATATTTGCGAACTAATTCCGAGTCAATTTCCGAGTACGCAACGCGTTACGCAATTTAGATATAAATTCGATCAGTCATTGACCATCGTTCTCGATTATTTTACACCAGACTCATCTGTTCCCTAGACTCGTCTATATTGAGCAACAAGTATTACAAAAGAATAACGTTGTCTCCGTATGGCAACTTGAATTACTTTTTCGACGCGTACAGAGTATTAACATAAAAAAGACCTACTTTCGATACGCGCAAATATTATTTATAAACTACCAAAAATAATGATATTTAAATTCAAGAAACGATAAGACCATCCTAGTCGCAAAGAATTGTCAAAAATGCCATCACACCGATACCCAAGAGCAAGGAGAACAGTTGTTTCATCGATTCCTTCGGGTTAGACTCTTTAAGCAACTCGGGGAGGATGGTCACCAAACCAATGTGCATGAAACCACCCGCCGTGAACGGTAATATCCAACTCGTCTTTGCTCCTGAAAATAAAATTGGTATTCAATTTTCCGACCACTCTGGGTACGATCAATTACAATTTAATATCTTTGCCTATACGATTTATATTATTTATATATATATTTATATTATTATTATATATTATATAATTATATTAATATTCATAATTTTAATAATATTATATTATATATTTATATAAATAATAATAATATAATAATAATAATTATTATTATTATTATATTAATATACGATTATATATATATTTATATATACGATTATATAAATGTAGCGTATTACTTCTCAGTAAGGAACGTACCAACTCCACCGCCAGAAAATAGCACCGCAGACATAGCACCAAAAATGCCACCGGAAGCGGTGAGAAGCTGCGCCCGCGCAGCGTCCCATCTGTTAAATCCGCTACGTAACAGAATAGCAAAGTCGCCGACTTCGTGGGGTATCTCGTGGATGAGTATGGCGAAGGTGGTGAGCATCCCCAAACGCAGAGACACGAGGAAAGAGCCGCCGACCGCGAGGCCGTGGGTGAAGTTGTCGATTATGTTTGCCATCAGGTTCAGATATCCGGTTATATGTTTCGATTTCTCCTTCTTCTTCGCAGTCTTTTTATTACCGGCAGCATCGACGGGGGCCACCATCTTGTTCTCGGGACGGTTCTTCGACAGTCCGTTGATAAAATTGTTCATTTCTGTCAACTTGTGCAGACAATTTTTAGCCTCTTCCTTCGTGAGTTCCTCCAGGGAGTTGGAGAGCTTGTTGATCATCAACACCGGGTTGATGCCGTTGCCGACGAAACCGTTCTTTTTGTAGGAATTCTTGCACTCGTCGGACAGATGGGAGTAGCGGTTGTTCGTCTTCTCCAAAAATGGCTGAAGCTGTCGATCGAAATGTCACGTATTATTATATTATATATATTATTATATATTTATATTATTATTATATATTTTATATATTTGGAACTTTTATATCGCTCTGAACACGATATATAATAATATATATATTATATATTATATTATATTATAGTATATATAGTATATAGTGTATAGAATATAGTACTATATACTATAGTACATAACAATAATAGTATATAATATATTATTATATATCGTGTTCAGAACGATATAAAAGTTCCAAATTCTTATCTAATTACATTGTTGATGAGCTTCTGGATGTCCGCCTTGGTGTATCCGTTCGACATTCCATTCTTCGGGTTCCTGTTGGCCAGAATACTGCAATTATTGTTCTCCGCCTCCTTCCTCGCCTCGTTGGTGGTCGACTTTTCGTCCGTCGCGGCCTCCTCTTCCTCAGTATCGGCGTCCTGCTCGAAGCTGAACAGCTTCTCCACTATGACGAATACTAGGAAACCGCTGAGGACCCACAGACCGGTGGTCATCGACGGATGGTCGGCATCCGATGATGCTGGAACAGAAAAATTCTCCCGTTGAATCCCCGGCAAGATGATCGCGCGTTCCTAGGTCGGGTCGATTTAATCGGTGTCACCGGCGACCAAACGCGCAAGCGATTGGGACTAGGACCGAGACGATTTCATTCAGAAGAGGACAGCAGCCGGCAATTGAAATTCGCAAACTGATGCATAATGGGGGTTTTGTAACCGTTCACAAAGCACGAACAGCGAACTAGCCAAGGCTGCGGTCCAAATCTGTTCAGCGCAGATCTAACGCGATCAATTACCGGCTGGCTCGAACGCGCGGCGATTTAGGCGAACGATCGAGAAGGCATCGCGCGACGGCTGTCTAGCCGATTCGAAATTAAATTCTAATTTTCCGTGCGACCGATACAGAAGGGAAACGTCGAGGATGCCTCGAAAAATCTTGCTTCGAGACGGAAAGGTTAAAAGGTCGACGAGCCTCGAAACTGTTAGAACGGCGGCAAAAACGACCTTGTCTCAGAATGCGAATTACAGGCGCAGCGCACGAAGCGTGCGCGTGTGTGTGCGCGCGCGCGCGATTAATCGTGATCCAGAGAACTCTGGTTCTATACTTAGAATCGCGTCGATCGATCGATGCAATAGCGCCGAAGCGTTTCCACCCTTTGGACCGGTGCTCTCCGCCTCCCCATTCCGTTCGGAGATCATTCGTACGGTGACTCTTTCCCTCGTTATCAGCCGTGAGTCATATTTCATTGGATCGCGAAACGTAACTATTGCGACATGTCGCGACACCGATGCCGATGATTTATCAGAGGCGTTTCGCCTCTAATTTTTGCCGGGTTCGAATTCTCAAACCGAATTGCGACGAATCGATTGCGACCTGGACAGCCTTTCTCACCTGTCTTGAACGAGCTGTTCGCCCATGCTTCCGGCAGCAGATGCAGGAAAACATCGCCGAGAAGGCCACCGACTGCGAAACTCAACAGTATTTTCAGCGTACCAGCGCCGTCTGTAACAGAAATATACACGATATCATGTCGGAACTCGCATCGGCGGAATTTGCATAATACCGGAGGAAATTGAGTAAGCAGGATTCGCTTTACAGGACAAATGGATTAACCGGCGATAAAAAAGTTAGATACGCGGTAGATTCCTGATTCGCGAGCACATGTAAGATAGTACAGTAATGTCTCTCTAATTGACGCTCAGCTTAGAAACAAAGGTGGACAATTTGGGACGAGGATAACTATAAAAACAAACCGCATGGCTCGAACAATCGTATCTACTCTTCCCAAATTGTCCATTTTTGTGGACAACCTGAGCGTCAATTAGGGAAACATTACTGTAATCGAGGAAACGTGTGCGATCAGATGATAGAGCAATCATTTATACAACAAATAATGTTATATGTAGATGATTGCGGATCGGTGTATGTGTATGCGTACATACAATTCGGACAATCAAGATTCTACTATACAGGGTGTCCCAAAATGTCTCGCGATCCGAAAGTGGCGAGTTCCTCGGGTCATTTGAAGCAACTTTTCCTTTTACAAAATTTTTCTCCGAGGTACCGTTAACGAGTTATTAACGAAAAACAGTGACCAATGAGAGGCGAGCTCGGCTGGCGCGATGCGACCGAGCCAATGAGCGGAACTGGGCTTGGCGCGCTGGTTGGCTGGGCCGCCTCGCGTCAGCCTTACTCGATTCTTATTGGTCACTGTTTTTCGTTAATAACTCGTTAACGGTGTCTCGGAGAAAATTTTTGTAAAGGAAGAAGTTGCTTCAAACGATCCGAGGAACCCGCCATTTTCGGATTGCGAGACATTTTTGGGACACCCTGTAGATGCTACATACAGTAATGTCTCCCTAATTGACGCTCGAATTGTCCACAAAATTGGACAATTTCGGAAGATGAGATTCGATTGTTCGAGCCTTGCGACTCATTTTTATAGTCACCGATTGTCAACAATTATAGAAACTAGATGCAGCGTTCGGGCAATCGTATCTCCTCTTCCTAAATTGTCCATTTTTCTGCACAATCCGAGCGTCAGTTAGGAAGACATTACTGTAGACAGAACTGCGAGGCTACGATCTCAACTTTTGCGACGCTGCGTTTCGAATAGCGTTGCTAGCATGGTAATTGTTACTTTTTTTGCTCGACGAGAGACTTTCACTCGAGTCTTTACAGCGACACGGATAATGTGAAATCGGTGTTTCGATGTTCATTGTTCACCGAACAATTCCAGGATTCTTTCTTCGAACGGAGAAACGATGGAACATTTACCGAGACTGGTGGAATTTTCGTTTTCCGGATTTTTGGGAGTGGGAAGGCATGTCATAACTTTATCTCCAAATAACGAACGAATTTGCGGAGCGAGTATCGGAGTATCGTCTCCGACATTGTTAATAAGTTTCTCCCTGTGCGCACAGATATCGAGACGATAGATCGCTTTTGTACGTTGTCCGGCGATAAATTCTCGCGACGGCAACGATTTTGCACTCGGTTGACTTCTTTGTGCTCGGGATCACCGAGCATGTTAGAGAATGATCGAGGTGGTTCGATATCTTCGGCCTGCAGCATCCCGGTCATACGTCAACCGAGCAAATTCCCCACGGAAGAACGTGTTCCTTTATGCGCGAATGCTTTGTACTGTTAATCAATGCTACAGTTAAATTTTCTGCGATCGCTGAAACATCGCTTCGGCGCTCGGCTCGATTTTCTAAATATACAGGGTGTCCCAGGTTTTAATGTTCAAACTTTGTCAGTGTATTCTATGGCACAAAGTAAGAAAAAAATGTTATGTAAACATAGGTCATACAGAGCTTTATTAAGAAGTTATAACAAAAATTCAGAATAGGAATAGTAATCAACTTGCTGTTACTGCGAGCATTGGCTTGAATGGATCAGCACATGCCGAGCGTTTATGTAAGCTGTTTATCAATACATTTCGAAATGTATTAATAACCGTTGTTGACAATTCATGATTGACATCGATCGAAGATTTTTTTTTATTTTTTATTTCTTTTTTAATTGATTACTATTCCTATTCTGAATTTTTGTTATAATATAACATTATATATAATATTAATTAATAATATATATTATATATATATATATATATTATTATATTATATATAATATTAATATAATATAATATTAATTGTTATAATATAAAGCTCTATATGACCTATGTTTACATAACATTTTTGATAAAAGCGACGACGATTCTTGTTCACAGAAATTAATCGATAAGTACATTCTCTATCGCCTCGGATCGGATCTAATCAAGTCTCATCAACGACGTAACAATTACATATCGGTATCTGTAATACGATCGAGAAATCGTGTTCGTTCTTTCAAGTGTGAAATCGAATCCGTCGATTAATCTGGTGAGCTTTCGAGTTGCGTAAACCTCGACCGTCGTTCGAAACATGTAGAGCATTCCATGAAATCGCGTTCCATAGTTATTATAAAGACGGCGAAAGCCCCTCATGTAGCAAAGGGATCGACGCGTCGTTGAATAAAATTTACTTCTAAACGTTAAAAAATCGCCTTTCATTTTCCCTCGAAAAAGTAAAATTACTTTCCGAACAACCGAAATCTTGCTGAACGATTACTTTCGGTTTGTATTGGGTTGTTCGGAAAGTTCGTGCCGATTTTCGGTAGGTAGCGTGAGAGACCTGACCGAATATATCACAATTATTGAAAACAAATGACATGTGTACATATTCTAAAAGAGATAACTCCAGCCATATTTGGAAAAAAGCTTGGCTACGATTCGTTAATTTTTATCAGTTTTGTACGCCTTAGAATATGGTGGCAAATAAAGTGCATCATAGGCATTTAATGCTTTTCTTTTTCCGAAAGGGCAAAAATACCACACAAGCGGCAAATAAGATATGCGCTGTTTATGGCGAGGATGCTGTAGCCGAAAGAACTGTGCGGAAGTGGTTTGCTCGGTTTAAAGCTGGAAATTTCGACCTTGAAGATCAAGAACGCCCAGGTAGGCCGTCCACCACAGACGAAGATACGATTAGAACAGAAATCGAGAATAACCCACGCTCAACATCACGTCGATTAGCAGGAATGCTAAATAAATCAAAATCAACCATCCACGGCGAAGCTTGGCTCCAATATTTCAATGAGCCGCGTTTTAATTTTCCTAAAAAATCGGCACGAACTTTCCGGACAACCCAATTATTTGCGTTCAAATCGGCAATCGAAAAATGATAATTTCAACGCGGACTGCGTCGCCGCTGCCGCGACAAGATGGTGCCACGGCAGGCCTTGATCCACATATACGGAACGTATTATTAAGTGGATACTATTAACGAGTTCACAGAACGTGACGACGTTTCTCGTTCTTTGCGTACGAGGATGCTGCGAATGTGGATCGTCTCGGTCTCGGACGAAGTCTCTACCATCGTGGACAGGCTCGAAGACAGTTTTCCGCGCGCGGTAGCGGCGTGTCCTCCGACGCGATAAATCCGTGTTATCCGTTGCGGACAAGCTCGCCGGGGCCCGGCGCGCGCGATAATAAATCAGCGAATCGTGAAAAACGCCGGTTCCGCGTCGGACTTTTCGTTTCTGTGTCGCGCAAGCCGCCTCGTTTCCTCGAGAATCAGCGCGTGCCGTGGCGAACGCACCCCCACTCGTCCTTACAATTCCTACACAATTACATGATGTTTCCCGAGCAATCTTTGTTCGCAGAGACTTTCCTCCTCGTTCCTCGTACATGACGAAACGTCCTGTTTACGTGGCAGCGCGCGATATCCACGAATCGCGCCGTAATTAGGTGTCATTATCGCGTCGTACGCGACGCTCTGCGAAGAGAAGTTGACCCTCCGTTAACCTTTTAGGTACGGCTGAATTCTGCGTGATGCTATTTCTCTGGACGGCAGAGTCTGATACTGTATATTCTGTCTGTATATACAGGGTGTCCCAAAAATGTCTCGCAATCCGGAAATGGCGGGTTCCTCGGATCATTTGAAGCAACTTCTTCCTTTACAAAAATGTTCTCCGAGGCACCGTTAACGAGTTATTAACGAAAAACCGTGACCAATGAGAGGCGAACTCGGCTTCGCGCGCTGGTCGGCTGGGCCGCCTCGCGTCAGCCGTACTCGATTTTTATTGGTCACTGCTTTTCGTTGATAACTCGTTAACGGTGCCTCGGAGAACATTTTTGTAAAGGAAGAAGTTGCTTCAAATGATCCGAGGAACCCGCCATTTCCGGATTGCGAGACATTTTTGGGACACCCTGTAGACTGTTGTAAATCGATGCGAAGACAAAAGAAGTGTGAAACGATGCGTACGAAGACGATTATTTGGTTCGAACGATGAGCGAGTGAGCTACTAGAACAAGCCACTATAGCGGCGCGTCGTCCAGAGAGATGACATTCGCGAAAGTCACTATAGTGGCGCGTTGTGTCTAAAAGGTTAATAATCCGAGCACCGAAAGAAGCGGAATTTCCGCGGACTTTGATCTTGCTAACGATCGACACTCTCGTCTACGCGATAAACGGTAAAAACATCGAAAGAATCGTTAAATACCGTAGCATTATTTTCATCCGATTAAAATGTTTAAAGAACGATATCGACGCGGACGCAGCTCCCGTATCTTATACTTTTAGCTCGAACGATAATTTCTATTTTGCATAAAAATTCGCTGTCTAATAATTCTATTTAACGCCGGAAAGTCGAGCCAGAGATCGACGCAAGTTTTGCAACCGTTCGACGATAACCAGCCGCGGGCATCCGCGTAACAGTAAGCAAACTAATACATCGCGCCCCGTTCGCGTTTTCCATTATGCAAGAGATTTTGGTTCGAATAAAATAACAGCGGAAGAAGCGGCGCGAAAATATTTTACGTTCGAACAACGCGATTCGCGGAACAAACAAACTTGTCGGAACAGTTTTATCGGCGAAAAAGATCAACGGCTTATCGTCGATCGTTGCTCGCCTTATTTTTAAATCGTTCCCCCATTGTCCCCGGCCCTCTCTAACCGTTG